ACATCCACCTTATTCTCCAGATTTGGCACCGTGTGATTTTTGGCTATTCGATTTTATCAAACAAAATATACCCGATCAAAGTGATTCAGAATCGTTACATCAGGCTGTATCCGACTTCATGGACTCCTTAAGTAAAGAAGAATACAGAAAAACATTCGATAAATGGATTCAACATATGCGCTTATGCGTGGATAATCGCGGCGATTACTTCGAACATTTGATGAAATAAGAGCTTGGTGAACTCTATATTTTTTCGTTCTGATGTCATTAGACATTGCATATCTTGACATGTATAAACAGCTCGGGACTGAGGAAGACGAAAAAAAAAGAGAATGGCAAGAATATTACGCGTATGAAACACAGAATATGATATAGTACAACCAGCACACGTCCGACCAAAACAAGTCTTATATAAATTTTATTATCATAGGATTAGTCTGAATAAGATCAAATAGCATAGAAAAATAGAGCTTTCTTTTCGCTATCAGACTGTATAGAAAAAAAAATTATCGAACCCTCCTTTGAAGGATTATCATACCTCCGCAACTACTTTTGGACTGACCTAAGTGGAATAACATAAAATCATAGGATAAACGATAGAGCTAGCCAAAGTTGATACAGTTTTGGCATAGTTCAATCGATCCCTGGGGGAGGCATACCTTCTTAGGCTCAACAATTGTCTGACTATGTCACATGCAAACATTTTGAAAACTGTACCAGAAGATCCTTTTTTCACGTTGCATCAGGTGGGCATATTTTCAAGCCTCTTACGTACGAATACTAATGGAAATAGTTGAATTTATTGAAAAAAAAGACTTTTCCATTTAAAAAGTATAGAACATGCGGGAGTTTTTGTACATTTTTTAGATAATTCTCAGTGAAGTTTGTCTCAAAAAATGGCTAAACAATTACTTAATATAGACAGTTTTGTAGAGCTTGACGAGCTCCATCAAATCGTGTAAAAATATCAAAGAAAAAAGTTCTACTCGAGTTTTGAATTACTCATATCTTACATATCTTATCAATATCAAACTTTCTCACTACGTAAACACGTTAAAAATGATATTGATTATGAGATCAAGACTTGGTATCCACCTTTGATCTGATCAATGAAAAATCTTTTCATAGATTCTCACAAGGGAGAAAAGCGGGTCACGGGATCCGCTTTTTCTTCTTTTGGTTACTATCTACTCAAACACGTCTAGCTATCAAACAATTATTGTGCGCGACGAGAATCATCGAGCGTACATTTAATTATAGAATCAAAACATGCCTCCAACAAGAACTTCTCCAATACAAGCGAATGTTGTAGAAAAATTCAGGATTACATATGACTAGTTAATTGTCTTTTATTATATAAAACATATATTTTACTTCGAAGTTGTTGAATATGTGCTGCCAATTGTTTTTTCAGTTTCTCGTCCAATGATCGATGCAATTAAAGGATTACTCACTAGAATGAGATCATCACATATTCTATTAACATAACTGAAGATATGCTGTCCACTTTTGACAGCTGACCAAGCACAAACACCAGCTGAAATGACCACGCCGATGCCGATTGTCGCAACAGTGAATGTAACACTTGCAACTCTTGACACAGTTGTGGTGGCTGGCGCGACTATGCGAATAATATCATCGCTAAATGAGCCAACAACTGCTGCCGTATGTCCTGTCACGGTTCCTATTGTTCGTGCGCTTACTTCGGAGTCAGTTTTCGCCTTGACCACCACATATTTTTTGAACACCGATGTTTGCAAATGGCTATCATTCTGAATTATTAGATTGAATTGAGTCAGATATTGACAAAAAGCGTCGTTAATACCAAATGCTTCTTTGATACTGTTTCTTGAAAGATAGCGAGGCAACTGATCACCGCAAGGAATAATCGCTGCCACACCGGCAAGTATCTGGTACTTAAGTACATTTAGCACATAGCCACGACGAAAACACGTGTTGATCACACGAGTCACAGCTCGCATAGTCAGTAAGTGAATGCGACGATGAGAGGCATTGAATGCCAGATAACTCAATTTGTCGACCAATTCGTCATGATCAAATGATTTAGCACTCAGTAACATTTCTGCATCTATACTCGCCCAATCATAGTCGGCCGCCGTTAGAAAAACATGTCGCGATTTGACTTGAATATCATAACGTATCTGTTCTATGATACGTTGATCATATTTGCTGCGTTGTTCCGGTCTGCTTCGACCAAAAGGTATATTTGCAAGTTCGCGAAATTTCTTTAAATAGCAAATATCTACTTTGGATCGTACTAAAACGCATTTTCGTTTCAATTTCTGCTCGATATAATTAATCCAACCCTCTTGTTCGTAGCACAGTTGATCATCAAATACCAATACATAAATATCACAGTTGGCTTTGCGAATTTCATCCAGATAATTACCCGCTTCAATCTGATCATTGACTGTTGGCCTGTCTTTATCGAGACCTTGAATATCGATAAATGTAACCGGTATTTTTATGTCTCGGTTTGGTGGATAAATGAGTGGTTCCTGTCGATCGAATTGTAATTGATAATAGGTACTTTTGATAGTGCGCACTGGTGCTGCATCATCATCGCTCAGAGAACTCACACCAAGAAGCCGGTTTAGCACAGAACTTTTACCTGCACTTGTGTAACCAATAACTCCAATTTTAGTACGTGGCAGAAAACAAGGATTTGACCAGTGATTCATAAGATCTTGTTCGATTGCCTTGATCAAATCGAAAATTTTCGGTTGAAAACCATCTCCAGTGTCTTGTCTGCATGTCCATTCGTCCATTTTGCCACTGACATTCGGAAAGATACTGCAAAATTCAGCATGTGATATTTCGATGAATAAGCACTCACAAAGATGTATATAGAGCGAACCAACATCATCATCGGTATCAGGCAATGAAATGGCTTGTCTGTAAGCCACTTTGTACAGAATACCATTTCCATTCGGATGACTTTGTAAATCCAGTACAATTTGTGAGAGCTTATTAGCCATGCTTTCTGCTTCTATCATTGTTTCTTGTATTTTTGTCGTTGTATTCAAACGTTTTACAGTTGAAATGAGATTTTTCAAATGGCGTCGTCGACAGTCGATGTCGAACACCAGTTCATCACGATTACACTCCATCGATAGTAAATCCTGTGTGCGTTTAATACCACACTTAATAACCGTATCATTCCACAATTTTTCTTTAAGTCGTTCATCTACCATTGGCACATGTTTGGGTGGGTACTTGTGCAAACAGTACATACATTGAAAAGAGCAATCGTCACCATTGTAGATTTGTATGTGCTCCACACATTGAGTACAGAACTGTTGGCCACATTTCTCATTGATACATTTACGCGGTATGGATTCGTGAATGACGCCGAATGACTTCAGACACATGATGCAACAGTCATCCACCTTAAAAAAATATCAAACCCAACTATTGATGATCATTTTGGAAAATCAATTCATGTGCTATACCAGAAAGAGATAACTCTCATTTTTATGTAAGCTAATTAAAAACGAATGTTTGATCAAAAATATTCTTTACTATCTACAGCATTTAAATAGCTCACTATCGACGCTAAACTGTACCAAACATACCTGTTGCTCATTTGGATTGGCATTTGTTGTATAAGACATTTCTGCTGTGTGCTAGTATCTAGAATACAACTGTTGAGAAGTTGTTACAGAGTACGATTAGTATGCTGATGTTGGTTGAATTTCATCAGTAAATTTATATTATATGCCATTCGTTAATTCTTGGTAGAGAAAAAACCCAAATTAACAATCGTAATCCGATATACGATTTCACCTTGGCTTTTTCCTTTTTTCTTTCATACTCTATTTTTGTGCTTCCTTCTTTCAATAAAATATGCCTCACGAGTGTTGTTTTTTGTAAGAATAATAAGAGAAAGAAGTGATTGAGAGAACGTTTAGAAGGCAACAGAAAAGACCTCGTATGACATCCGATGAAAGGAAAAATACCTTGAGGATCACGATACAATGAGTGCCATATCAGTTTCCGCGAACACATTGCGTCTAGAGATGCAACCATGAATATGCATGGCTCACCATTACAGTACCTAGTAACTGCTAACAGAAAATTTGTGAGCTTAATTTTTCTGTCAGGTGTAGTCTACTTCGCGAAAGTAATGATCTCCTGTAAAGTTTGATCAAAGACTTCCAAGTTGAAGAATCTGAATCTGTAACAGATTTTCGGTTTGGATGTGGATGTGTGAGTGTAGATGTCCCATATAGAAAAAGATGACCCGAAAAATCAGACGTTAATCGATCCTTTTCTGATTGATAGTTGGTTAAAATGGCACAATTTTAATCAGATTTTAACCCGATTTCTTGATTTTTAATAAATTTTAATCGATTATTCGACTCTTAGTCGATTTTAATTGCTGTGGCTAAAAAAAGCGTTTTTCACCAGTTTTCACTTAGAAACTTTAATTTTTTATTATTTTATATGACTTCTTACGTCGACAAACGGTAAATGTAATACTATCCCTATCCTTGATGCATTCTCATATACGGAATCGATTCATACTCACTCGTACAAACCATAATGCCGATATCTAGGATTAAAATCGATTATAGCTTAAATAATCGATTAAAATCTCATGGAAATCGATAAAAAATCGAATGATCTATTAACATTTATTAAAAAACTCAAGAAATAGGGTTAAAATCTGATTAAAATCCTGCTATTTTAATCGATTAAAATCTGATTTTTCCGGTCATTTTTGTACATGGGCAGTATGCTAGAGGAAGAAATGAATCCATTTTCACCAAACGTGTATGTCATCAAAAGTTGATTTTCGCTGATTTCAATGTCGTCAGATAAATTTACCATTTAAAACAGATCTGGATCGAAGATGATCGGTCTTGAATAAAAACATCCTATTTTAAGTAAATAGCTCATTATCAAGTTGGTTAGTTATCAATCTAGATAACTATCAACTCAGTTGGTTACTAAGTCACTTGCCTATGAAACATGGATGAATGTTACGTATTCCATCATTTGTTGAAAATTCAAGTGAATGTAGGAAATGTATTTTATATAAATTCATATGTGCATCTGTGTTCGTTTCATTTATTCGTACATCTTATCTTCATCTTTCACGCTCAAGATCTCAGTTAGTAATCATTCGACTTGATAATCAATTGAGTATGTAGCCATCTGACTTTCTAACCAACCAACATGGTAATGAGCTAATTACTTAAAATAAGATGTTTTTTTTATATAAGATCGATTACATTCAATTTAGACCCGTTTTTCATTATAAATACATTCGACGATATTGGAATTGGCGAACTTTATCTTCGAACAATTGTCTTTGACGGAAATCAACTTTTAATGAAAATCGAAAGTACCGAATAAAGTATATCGTTATGTGAAGAATTTCAAGTGCAATTTTTTTATTAAAAAATAGTTTCAATT